CTTCTCCGTGGAAACGCCCTTAAAGAAAACAGAGATGACCTCTTTATTCCCACCATCTACAGTAAGACAACCATTACATTCATTACTGGTTTAATAACTGGTTTAGTCTCCAAGGCCCTGGTTCTGTTCAGTCCTTCTGATCCGACTCTGATACAAACCCTGAACAGGACAGAGGATGAAGCCAGACTAGCAGAACCTTCTCCTGCCCTCCAGGCCACCAGAGGGCGACATCACACTAAGCACTGGTTTGTTTTTTCCTGCGTTTTTTAAAGTCATTACACTGTCACAAGAACAGAGCAACAAAATAAACTCTCTGCATTTAACCCATTGGGGAGCAGTGGGCTGCCATTGTGCGGCGCCCGGGGAGCAGTGTGGGGTTAAGGGAACCAGAGTGGCAGTCTGTGGGAGTGGGGCTTTGAACTCAGAACCTCTGGATTCCAAGCACAATGTCCTAACAACTAGGCCGCCACTCCCTCTCTGTTCCGGTAACTGACCCCTAAACAGAACCCATTAGAACTTTTCCCCCCTCCTTGAATCACCACCTTCATGAGGTGGAGTGGTTTCAGTGCCAGAGGCCATGACCTCGGGGGCTTTAAAACCCCTGGTGTGGTCTCTCAAGACAGAACGGCTCCTAGTAACAGGTCAGACAAAGAGTGGAACCATGAGGGACCGGTGCAAAGAGGCCTGGGCAGCAGTCAGAGGCTTTGGCCTTGGCGACCGGATCTGTGGATCTGTGGCTCTGTGGCTCTGGGGATGTGGAATGTCCCCTCGCTGGTGGGGAAGCAGCCTGAGCTGTTGCAGGAAGTGGTACAGGGGCGTAACAAGGGGCGATCCACCTCTCACGACCACCTCTCCATCAGGAATCGTAGGGTCAGGAGAAAATCAAACATGTTTGAAATTCACTTGCCTGTCCTAAGGTTGTTGTGGGCTAATCGCTCAGTGGGCAAACAAGGATCCTTTGGTCTGGTTGGGTGGCCTCCCCGGTGGGAGGTTGGTGGGGGTTTTAGCCTTGTTATTAAAAAATCTGACAGTAAAGATGGCGCCCCTCCCTCCATTAGGAGACCTAGGGTGAGACCTA